GGATTCTTCCCTTATTTACTTAGGGCAACGCCCTTGTACTGTGCCTGGGTTGCAATTTATCTGATAATTGCATAAGAGTACACTGATTGCCCTATGTCAGGCTGTGCAGTTAATGTTGGATAGCTGAATTCATTACCATAGGAGAATCAGGTTATTGTCTTTTAATCGTTGCCTTCTATCCAGCATTATGCTCTCTACATAGAAATGTTCCCTGAATGAGGAAGAAAATAAGCTTCCCTTTATCAGAAATCAAGTTAAAGCAGTGTTCCACAGGAGAATGCTATTTGCCTCTATTTACAGACATATTCTACTTTGAAAATTAGTGTTCCTGTGAATAATTATATAGCAATATCTGGAGATCGTGGTCAAGACGGCAGTTTGTTATGCTGTTGGCACTATATGGACACTTACCAGAAACTTTCCCTGGGATAAACGCTTTCTGATTACTCCAGCCAATGTTCCTGATATAAAATAAGCTGAACTCACCTAATGTAATTTCACTGTTACATCTAGTTCTGCCAGCTTTCGGAGGAGTTCAGAGAGTGAAACCTTAGAAACACGATCAAATAACTGTGGGTTACCAATTCACTGTGCATAAGCCCTCGGCCAGCGTCAAGGCCCTGTGTATGGCTCGGGCTGCAGGGGCGGTAGGCTAATTTAACGCCAAGTACATCAAGTTTGCTCTAGGCTAGCAGCGTGCAGATGGACAACCAGTGTGACCCATTTCTGTGTGCCCCGTGATAGTACATCACCTAAGTCTGAGCCTTTTGGTCCTGTAATAATTTTAGTGCCGATCTCAGGATTCTGGCCAAATTTCAGTTCCAGTGATTACAGGCGTACTAAACATCCTATTCAACTTCAATATTGGACAGAGTGGTATTTATTTCCTAACACCAACTGTTCTGTATCATGCCAATATATCATCGAACAACTGTCTCATTATTTCTTGACGGCTGCTGCTTTTAATGATGAGAACAGGGATCCCTACATGCACATGCAGTTCTGAAGCACAGCTCCAAAACCACACTACCCACAGCTCTGGAAGAGTGAGGTTTGGACAGACCTTACAGTTGACCTCACCCACATCGCAGAATCAACTAATACCCCTAGCAGAGGACGACTGAATACACATTACAGCTCATGTCTCTGGGCCATTTCCCCTTAAGCATAATTTATCGATGAATGTGTAAAGTATCATTACAGTGTTCACCATGAATGATGCTATATGTTTTCCTAAGAATGAGCATTATTATTAACTTTAAGAAAAATATTACCTCTATTAAATTCAGCGACACATTCAGCAGAAAATGACCTACATGCCGATAGATCCATTACTCCAGCCTCCTGTCCCTGATGGTGGCAATTTTATATAACATAGATTTACCAATTCTATTTCTAGTGATATTAGATCATAAAACTCATGAGTAGTGCTTTATCATTTACTTGCAGAATAACTTGCAGACTACGATCATTTGTCTGGAAAGTTTGAATACAGCAGCCTGGTCAGGACCATAGCAGTAGCTGTCTCTAGAAGCTTCCTGACAGCTGAAACATCCAGAGAAATGGCAATGAAGCATGCTTAAATTTGGCCTACTTTGCATATATGGATGATTTTTTATATACATTATGGATCTGATTCATTTCAGACACCCTGGACTCATTACACGTAGGCAGATTTTCCTACACTGCACAGCAAATGAGTCTGATGCATCTGGGATGCACTGCATTTATGAACTTCCTCAGCACCGCAAATGTGCTGCACTCTGGCTACGTGCTGTGTAGGAGATGCATCAGTGAGGGCTGATCTGGGCGCTCTGATCCAGGCTGTTCAGAACCCACCAGCTCTGCTGGTCTTGCTCAGCGGACCTCTTGGATGTACCAACTTGCTTTTCGCTACTTGTTTTTCACCGAAACACTGGTACTCTAATTGAAACATCTCCTGTTATAATAGAACAGGAACATTAAAAATCTGTCTGTATCGTTATGGCATATTTATATAGCATCCCGTGGCAGAGCATTGGTGTAGTTCTCAGCTTTATCTAGTCCCTGGTGATACCGAATACAGCAACCATTGTGTTTTGATTTCTTAGAGATCAAAGACAACAAAAATACTCTTCAGTGTGCCAGAAAAGTAACTACTGCTTTTGCTTACTTCAACCTGGAAGGCAGTTGTTTGATAATTTCACTGTTTATATAAAACATTACTGATTTCTAGAATTATACTGTATTCTGAACTTGTGAGTAATACTTGGCAATCTCTCAATTTATTCTTCATTTACTAATTTCATATAAGTGCACAGATTGGCAAGCAGAGCTTTCAGAAACTGTCCTCCAAAATCAAACAGTAGTAAACCAAACACGTTCTAGTGCATCTTTGCCCCAAATTTCAACAGTGTACGTGTGCAACTGCCCATGAAAAACTGCACTGGGTTGTTTTTTCAGGCAGCTTCAGCATTTCAGACATGAAGACAGAGAATTATTCGTTGTGCATTTATTTGTACAAAATGGTTTTATAGACAGCTCTTATATTTTTAAACTAGTATTCTTCCTAGAAATCTTAATATATCTCTCATTTCTTTCCTCGTGCTTTTAAGGTGACCAAACCTCAAAAGTTGTTTTCAACTTCTGTCTTTGTTATATCCATAGTCCACTGGCTTCATCTATATAGATAGTCTGATTACTTCACCCAGAAACTTAAATCAGAAACATGTAGTTCTATTTTTAAGAAGAATTCTATTATCATTTTAACATGAATCTATAAAGAAGTATCAAAGCAGAGCTTTCAGAGGTATGGAAAATTCAATGGGGATTGTAGTGTGCCTTTTTTTTTTCCTCCTTTTTTTTTTTTTAAACAGGGAAAAATGCCAAACTATAATATGCCCTTTTGTTTAGACTGCTGGTTTTCTTCGGACCCACTGTGCAGTAGAAAGCTGAATCAAAAGTGTTAGAAAGCCCATGGTTTTCCATATGTTCAACTTATGATTGCCTCCCTCCCCAATTTGAAAGCAAGTAGAAGCATGGACTGAAGTTGTTTAACTGTTTTAAGTTTTTAACTCAAAATGTATACTCACAGCACTAACATGAGAATCTCATTTCTTGTCTGCAGCACACCAATGTTTTCTTCCAGGTCAAAACTAATCAGGTGTTTGTGAGTGTGTACAATATATTTAGCAAAAAGACTTCTCTTTGATCACTTCAATATATGGAATATTGTTTTTAAAAAAGCAAATAGCAGGATAAACATCGCATTACTACAGGCAATGGAATTTAAACTTTATTCCAACTTTGTTTACGAGAGTGAGAATTACAGTATCCCTGTAGAAAAAGGGAATAACCCGATTAATACATACCAGGCTGACACTAAATTGACATGGTAGAATGTTAATGTTTCAGTTACCATACAACTATGAGACCCCTTTGATCATGTAACTGAGTTCCACAAAGAAGAGAGATGCACTGCGATTAAACAGAAAACACTAATTTGCCTTAAAACCAATCACAGATGCCTACTGTTTACCTTTGCTACTGTAGTTTCAAAGCTGTTGCTTTTTACATTTTCTGTCATGCCTCAGAGAAACAAAACTGACCATTTTTTTGAGCCCATAGGCTTTTGGTGACTAGATACAAGCTGGTTTCACTCCTCTGATTCTCTCTGATTGTAACAGCACAGAGAGATTTGGCTTCTCTTGTCTTTCTAAAGAAGCTCTCTGACTGTAAGACCCAGAAGTATGGTTCACTGCTGTGTAAACCTTAGCTGGTCTTCCTACAGGTATTACTAATTGATCTCAATGCTGAACTGCTAAACTATAAATTAATTTCCACAAGTGTTATAGTTTCTATGTGCTCTTTTGCATTACTGATTATTTTCATGTTGAAATCATATTGTAAGACTAAGCAAATGCTCTGTTTGTCATTTTAGCTGTTACTTTCCCTTCATGTTTAATGATAATGGTAGTTACTGTAACCGAGGTGATGAAAACGCATGTTGAAATGAAAGCCTTGGAACTGAAATGTGACTAAAGAGAGGTTAAAACGTGTCGTTCATTTAGATGATGACTTAACGTGCCTCAGCTTGTTGCATTTTATTGCCTTTTTCTCCCTCACATTGTACCTCCATCAGTTTCGTAGATCAGATTTGGTAACTGCCGATAACATATTTCCCTTAACAAAAAAAATACACATGACTCATCTTCACAGAGGTCTTACTCCTGAAATTACAGTATTTATCTTTTTACAGCTCAGTTAATGTCCTTACTGTATTACTGTAGATGAAATCCACCTGACCAAAGTATTTTTGAAATGTGGTAGAAAAATGCACATATACTATAGCACATTTATCCTGAAAACGTTACAGCATCAGGAAATGTTCCAATGTGAAGGAAGGAACCAATAATTATTATGTTCCAGGACTGCATTTTATAGTCTGTTGTGAGACAAAATTGCCATTGCTTTCAATGACAGTTTTACCTGAATAAAGACTAATAACAGTAAAATTTGCCCCGTATTGTTTACTACACATCTTAATTGTATACTGCTATTTCACAAATAAAAATAAGAATGTAAAACTCAGAGGGACACAGCTATAATAATGAAAAAATGGTCCCCAATTATTTAGGCTTCTAATCATGTAGGCGAAATCACGCACACCTTAACAGATGTCTTTTTTGCAATATGACAAAAATACAAGGTATTGAAAATCTGCATCTTTGCATTTCTAATGTGATTTCCCTGACTGATAACAACACAGTCTACACATATTATGCCAGTGCCAAGAGAAGGAATACAAGGAATGTATGTCAGACTACTTGACTTCTAGTCCCACTGGGGAGCAGTTTGCTGAATAGTATGAGATATATCAGCGTTCTTACAGTTTCAAAAGACATCGATTTGCTAGACAGCCCACAATTTCACAGAAATGCCCAGTCTAAAATGGATAATTTAAAAAGCCTGGACCTTATATTCTATTCAGCTGTTGCTTTGGTATTTATCTATTCAAACAGGTGTGATGCTGGGTTAGCCAGACTGTCTGCAGAGCATAAAATTACGTATGAAAGACTTCAGAGCCTAAGTAAAGACCAACACACCTCCAAGCTGATCTTAGAATCTAAAATCAAAGAGGCAGAAATACAGGTATGGTATTTAGACCAAAGTGATCCATGTATGGGTAAGAGTTGTAGTCTAATGCACTAATAATTCCATTACTGTGAATTATTATCCTGGGAGGTCACAGGATAAATGTGGAAGTACAATGAGATACAAATGGAGAGGTGTATCTGCTCACAGTCCTTATTAGATTGAATATTGGTACCTAGCTGCAATACTGTACTGGTCTAACTGAAAAAAAAAGTCCTTAATTTGCTGCATTTAGCATGCTGTGTAGAAGGGGCTAGTATCTAAAGGCATCCAAAAGGATTCCAGGAATGCGCAAAAGTCAGTGATTATTCCTGAATGGCTTCTTGAGGTTGGGATGTAAACATGACATGGATGCTCTACAAAACTACCACAACAATGCAAATATCAGTCTCTCCCTGTATGTTTTGGCCTTCCTAGGATGATTTTGTATGTATTTGAACACAATTTTTGAAGGTCTGCTAAACAAAACTGGTTTGGGGTTCTGTGAATCCATTAATCTGTCCGTTAGGTTTCTCTTCCATTGAGTATGAGAATGGAAGTGAGCACTAGATACAAGCAGAGAGTTGTGACATTAAGGAAAAGGATTCTTCATATCTCCATCTCAAGGCCTTCCCATTTTCTTGGGCAACAAAAGTATTTTACATCTTCACTTTGCGGTAGGTAAATGGTTAAAATCCACTTTACCTTTCTCAGAAGACTCAGTATAGTAAATTAGCACGCCAGCATGCTAGGAGCTTATGGTCACAGACCTTGTAAACCAGAACAGTATGTTTCGTAAAACTGGGATGGTTGTTTTGGTGAGAAGTATTTTCTGTTAGTAATGACCTGTCCCCAGTTAAATCCAGCACTTTTATCACTGCAGTAGCCATTATACACGAAGTGATGGAGAGTATCGCTCAGTATTGGTGGAGTGCTTTGCCGTTCGTTGACTCCGCTTATGTGGCCACATGGAGATGTATGGATCGTGTAAATTCAGCTGTCTCAAGGGGGGGAGCAGGCAGACGCATTCAAGGCAAGACCGTTCAAATTATTTGTGGCTGGAAAATTACAGTTTTCACAATGATTATACTTCTATCTTGCGAGATACTTTATAATGAAAAATATACTAAAATGTGCAAATTCACTGATTTTCAAGATGTCAGCAAAAACGGCCCTTCTCTAAGATGTCCTCTACTGTTCTGAAAACGTCCCAAATGAGACTGGGATGAAATGCCGTTGAAAAATAGTAAATTCTGAATTTTGTTTCAGATATCTCATCTTCTGAGTAGAGTAGAGCAATCGATAATGCAACAAGAAGCAAAGCTGAAGATTGCCTACAAAGAGAGCAACCAACAGCTCCACCTTCTGGATGCGAAGTGAGTGCCCGGGAAACCTGGCTGCTGCCATGCGCCCCGGAGGGCAGGGCATCAGTGTTCCGAGTTTGCCTGTAGTAATCTTCCGGCCCACAAAAGCATGAACCTGTTTAAACATGTATGTGTGCTCAACAGATATTACAAAAGCACAATGGTCTGTCCAGTGGGACTTGCTTTCATGAAGAATTCTGCCCCTAATGTGGTTAAGCAATTTTGAAAAGCCCATTAAGGCCCTGGTTAAGTTACTCAGGCAGAACTTGTATTAACGAACACAGCTAAGGATTCTTGTAGGGGTGGCCCGGTACCTTTTTGCGAGAACTGTACGGAGCAACGAATGCTGGAGGTGGCTCTTGAGAGCAGGGCAAAATGTCCAGCTCAAGCAACCAGGAAGCAAGGCATAGCATTCACAGTGCCTTACTGCTTCACACTGGCTTCCAATAGGAATATCTAACTCAAATACCTTAATTATTAATGATAAGGCACTCTGCTGCTACTAGATATTATATAGGGATATACTAAATTCAGATATTAACTCCTCTCCAGGCATTTCACTCAGTGGCAGTCCTGGCTTAAGCCATCCACATCCTTACTCCTTACAGCTTATTGCCGTCCTCATGCAACCCCATCAGTTACGTCAGTAAAACTATTTGCAAACCAGATGAAAGAATAGATCCAGATTTCAAATATTCACTGGAAAAAGAGACTGTCTACAGAAACAGTTTTCATTGGCACAACTGGTTGGTGTAAACTTGAGGTGAGTATAGGTGACAGAAGTGGGGCTGTATGAACCGGCATTGCCACTAAAATAAATGATTATTAAATCTTTGCTCAGATTTAAGACCTATGGACACGAAGATTATAATCTGGATGGATGACCATATTCTGTTTTCAATGCTGCAAAGAATATGCATCTACTATGCCTCAAAATACTGTGATGTGTTTTGTATAAATAACTGCTACTTTGTTGTGCTTTTTCATCTTTATTTTCTGAAACAACGTCACCTTCTCCAGTTAGCAGACTTAAAGTTCCAAGATTCACCTTAATATGGTGTTAAGAATGTATTAAATTGTCATTAATTCTTGAAATGAAGATGTTCTTAAAAAAGTCGCTGCTGCATGACCTGAAGTTCTGCTCTTTTGTATCTGCTAATTTCTATTATGCTCTTAGATTAAAAAATGCTACTGAAGAACTCAGCAGCCAGATTTTGTCTGCACGTAGCTGGCTGGAACAGGAACATGAAAGGATGGAAAAAGAGCTTGTGCAAAAAATTGACCAACTCTCATCATCTTTTAAGGAAAACACTGTAAGTTTTGTTAAAATGTCCTAATCATACTTCTCAGGAAGTATTCAAAAGCATTATTCATAACTAAGATGATGTAATTGAGAGATTATTTGAGTGAGATTTTCAGACCTCCTCCATATTTGTGTAAGTCTTTTCAATGATGAGAAGTACAACATCCCCACAGCCTTATGATCTTCAAATAAATCTGATCACTTCTAAATAGACCAATATTTTAGCCTACAGTAATCAAGTCAGTTAAAACAATTTTATAAAAAATTGTAACTCCTTACACCTTTGAATTACACAAAAAAGATAATTAATTAATATCTATTGCATATTTGGGAAAGACCACTGTAATGTCATATGCAGAGTAAATAATTAAAACTCTTTTTCCCGGTTCCAGGAAATGAGTGAAAGAGCTATAGAGATGAAATTCAACCAAATGGCAGAGAAAATTGACAAAATAGAAGAAATACAGAAGATAAGCATAGAAGCACATGAAGCAAAACAGACTGAAGAAAAGATAAATATTCGCATTGGCAAACTCCAAAATGAGATAAATGAAGATATAAAAGAAATGAAAGCTGAAGTTAATGCTGGTAGGACCATAGTTATCAAGTTCTTTGATCTGAATTGTGGTAACAGTGATTGACTTATAATAATAGGCGAAAATGCCTTTGCTTGTATTGAAGTAGTTTAAAGACTTTTGGGCCATTAAAAAAGATTTTCACTAAGTGTGACAATCACAGCAACAAGGTGACACCTTATTAGATTAGAAGTGCTCTCCCCAGAGCATACAGAGGCACAGGATGGCTGCAGTCAGGGGTGGTTTTGCCATCAGCACACAGTCCCGTTTTAATTCAGAACTTTCGCCGTCTTCCTAGCGTGGGGCAGAGGGTTATGGTAGGGAGCGCATTCTGACAGTAATTATGCAATAGTCTTGCTTTTGATTATGGACTAATTTAATTCTCACCTGCAATTAGGATTTGCAGCTATTTATGAGAGCATTGGGTCCTTACGGCAAGTTCTAGAAGCAAAAATGAAGCTGGACAGAGACGACCTACAGAAGCAGATCCACCAAATGAAGCAGGAGGTTCCAACATGGGGAGAGGCTGGACCATGACTGCAAGATTGACGCTTACCCGGCTAAACAGGCAGACTATGATCTCGTTCCAGTCTGTAACCCAGACCAAATGCATGTACCAAATGACATGCTGCTATTGCACAGGTCCGTACGCTTACTCCAAGCGGTAAACGCGAGCTCTTCACGGATCAACTGACAGCAAGCTTTTAGGGCTGAGGTGCTGATTTGCCACTGCACTACTCTAGTTGCTCTCAGGAGATTAAGCACCGTGTAAAACTGGAGTAATATATTGGTGAAGCTGGCACCTAATTTGCTAAAGGCATTCCAGTGCTCCCCAGTTTCGCAGGCTTGATTAGGCAGGTATATGCTTTTATTTGTGTGTATATATATATATAGCTCCCACCCCCCCTTTTTTTTTTCCCTAAAAAACCCCAAGTTGATATCATTTGTTCAGTATCAGTTTGGCAAGGTTCTCCACCTTGATACAAATTACTTAATCGAAGTCAACAGACATTTTTACAGTGACTTTCTCTTCTCTTGACTTCCTGGGGAGACAGAATTGGCACTAAACAGACCAATTTTCAAAACCTTGATGCCATCAGAAAATCTTTGTTTCGTTTTGCAAATATCCTCTGTGTGTATGTGTGTGTAAATTAAGTAGTTATATAATGTAGTTGTAGACTAAGATGATTCATGATTCAAGAAACTTAACTCACGTGGTCTTAAGTATTGTGATTTTTTAAGTTAATAACCAAGTGGAGCTGAGACAAGGTAAAAGATGTATATAGAGTATTTTATAACTGGGCATGCGTTCCTGTGACTTGTTTCATTACATTGGCAAAAACTTGAAAGGTTTCAAAACAAAAGAGAAGGTGATAATCTAAAGTAGTCTGGAGAATGTCATGTAAAATAAAATGCAGTTTATGATCTGCTTAGTAAACAACTGATTCTTCAAATTTAAGTAGACTTTAATAACTTAGCAGATTCAAATTGCTAATTGCATTCACAGTATTTCCAAATAATAATGGTGCTTATTTCCATTCCCAGAACGGGTTACATAACAAAACCCAGCACCCAGACGGCATATTAATCAAGACAGGAAAAAACCCCCGTTGACTTTATATTTTCATTAATAGCTTGATATTGCTCCTTATGGTTGTAAATCATGGAGGATTAAGCACTTAAGAAGAATAAAAGACTTCATCCAGTATCCTATTAATTTGTACTATTAACAGTAATTCATATACAAAAATACTATTAATTTACACAAGCATTACTGTTAACCTAAGTTAATAGGATGTCTCTGCACTGTCTTTAATGGACCTTTCTTTCGGCCAGTACCACAAAACCATATTCCTATTTGGAAAAATCAGTGGCCAATTTCTCATCACTTCCATGAAAAAACATTTGGCCCAGAGTCACCATATTAAAAAAAAAAATAAAAATTAGTCCAAAACCTGAAAACTCAGTAACTTCAGTAGGACAGTGTGGTGTGTAAAGATCAAGCAAATGCACACATCTTTACAGGATTAGCACCTAAGTTGTATCCATTTCCTGAAAGTAATTGAATGTATCAAAGAGACACGAAGTTTTTGCAACTCTGGCTTCCAATGCTCGCTGATAACAAAACTGCCTCTGTTATCCCTGTTTTGTACCACCCGTGTGCTGTGAAATATATTTACAATGTCAGCTGAGGGGAAAGCCGAGTTCACTAAAGAGAGACAATGAAATGCTTGCAGATATTTCCTAAGAATCGTCTCAAAAATCCATTCATTATTCACATCCGTATTCTTATCTATTCTTACATATTTAGCCATGTGCAGTGGAAAAGCTGTCTCTGGTGTTTTATGAAAAAAAGAGAAAACAACAAAGAGAGAAGTAAAAAGAGCTGGAACAAAAACCCAACTTTTTTTTTCTTCTGTAGTTGGAAATACGTACCTGAGGGAATCTGGTATGATATGAAGATCATACAAGGAATCAGAGAAACAATTTATGTAGGACTTTAATAAAATGTTTCTCTGGTAAAAATCTTGTCTGATTCATCCAGATACAAATCAACACATAAAACCCTATTCAATTTTACTTTTGCTCTTGTGAAAACATTTTTTCCTAAATCTCAGCTAAAGCAAATAACTAAAAGCCCAAACAAAACAATATTGAAATGCAACCTACTGTCAGGCAGTGCCTTCAAACCGTATAAAGTGCGCTGTGGGAGGGAGGCACAGGTTATGGGGACTCGTATGCTGGGAAGAGACACAGAGACAGGGAGCTAGGCCACAAGGGGAGGCTGCCCTCATCCATCCCTTTCAGATGCTCTAACTAGTCAGTTGTGAAAGGAAGTCACATATTCCAGACCAAGAGAGTTCTTCAGAAAAATTGAGGAAAAGCCAGAATGGAAAAAATGTGTATGAAGAAAGACTGAAAAATCTGGAGAAGTAACAGGGAAAAAGAGTAAGTCAGAAGCGCGGAGCGATGGAATGGTAGCTGCATGGGCAAAGGCAAGGAAGAGTCACTACCTGCTGGTGAAGCACAGAACAGGCCTGAAGATTTTAGAAAGAGTGAGAGTTTCAGACAATAATGTATTTGATACAAAACACAGAACCCACGAGGATGGGCACATTAACTGATTTGTCACAATTCATGCTTCCTACTTGCCTGCTGCATTTTACTCTGCTCGAACAGTTGGAAAAATAAATTCTTTTGGTTTGTTTTCCCTTTAGTTACTTTCCTGTTGTTGTTGTTTATTTGTTTGTTTGTTTTTTGTTTTGTTTTTTTTTTTTTAATTTATTTTCTGCACAAAATAGGTCAACCATGTCTTGTCTGCATAGTCTGTCAGGGAGCGCTCTATCTGGTACGTAACAGCCGAGCTCTTCACAGGAGAATTAGAGTCCCTGTATCTTTCAATCATCTTAAAGCTGGATGGCAAAATCCCCTCCTCAGAAACAGCACGCCCCCAGGGGACTAACTAGGAAGCCAGGAGGACAGTATTACAGACACTATGGTCTATGAAAACTTCATTTTGCAAAGCGGGAACCGATTCTGAAAACTGACCTGCAGAGAAACAAATAGAAGGAAACAGCTGTGCTTGAAAGTGGAGCTGCCCCTTCATTTTTACTTCCCATGCTGGTCTCCAGTGGCATTCCCATGTGCCAGTCCTTCAGGGATACAGAGGGTGGAAGTAATGTGCTTGCTTTATTCAGCATAAGTACTCATGCTAGGGGTCACTACCTGTACAGCACCAAACACAGGTCTGCCAGAGCCTGCCAACAGAAAAAGGTAGTGAGAAGGGGCAGTGTTTTTCTGGATGACACTCAAGCAAACAAAACAAGACTTAATGTATTTGGGAAAGTATAATACTGAATATGCACAAAATACTATTTAAAACACAAAGTACACTGACATAACCATAAACTCTCTGAAGGAAGGACTGGGAGGAGCCTTGAGAAGCCACCTGCTCCATCTCTCCACTTCAAGATAAGGCCAACTCCATCTAACATACTTGTCATAGGCACTTGTCTAACCTGCTTACAGAAACCTTTCAAGAATAAACCTCTGACTAATGCGGACTATTCCAACGCTTAAAGAACACCGCCGCGCTACCCAAACACCTAACCTGAAAGGACTCTTGATTGGACAAGACATAATGGGCTTAACTTTCAAGCACAGAGGACACAAAACCTAATTTGTTACATTCTTCCCTGCATGTCCATTAATTTTTTAAAGCAATCTGCGTTTTACAGAATATTCAGATGAAGTTTCACAGGGATCTTTCCCCAGTATTTCTTGAACTTTTATCTCCTTCCTACATCTCTAAAAAACCACCCAAAAAACCACCACCACCACAACCAGCCAAAAGAAGCCCACTTCCTCTCAGTAAGTTTTAAAATGTTCCTTTTGTCAGCTATTTAGCATGCATGAGGCCTAAACGACTTGCAGTGCGCAGACCATTCAGTCAGCTATGTTGCCTGAATGACAAAGCAAGTGTCAAAGGATAAACTCAGTAAAAATTCTTTAACTGGGGTACATGCCTTTTACATCAGTAGGTGATAGCACAGCAGAGCTATGTGCAGTGAAACGGTTAACTGGAAAGAAAATTATGTCAGTAGTTACAGAGCAATTGGTTATTTCGACTCATTAAGCAAACCAAAGTAACGATGTGAGCAAGAAGTTAAAAGGATGATTCTAACTCCCACACCTAGTTGTTCACGTAGTACAGCTTTATACTGTGGCTATTTTGTCCTTCCACACCGATACCGTTCAGTGGACAGTTTCCACGTTAGAGAAAAGCCGTAGGAAAGATAATGAACAGCACGATGTCAACAACAGAAACTGCTGTTATTGCTGTAACATCCATTTAAATAGAAATGCAGTTTTTTCTTCTTTTCTCAATTTCTACATTTCCTGCTCTACCTTCCCAAGTATTTAGCTATCAGGGTCAGAAAGCGTTCTTTGTATCTTAGAATGAAAGTGCTCGTTAGAGATGTATTCCAATAATGGAAATGTCTAATGAGAGACACATGACAAATTGATGAAGCCCTCCTGTGTGGACGGATTCCTCCTGTGGTACTCCCCACAGTGTAAGAAATTCAGAGGCAAATTTGAAGGGAAACAATAATGGAATTCGGTGCAAGTCCTCTTTTGAATTAGCCACAGGGTGTCACTGTTGCTCTTGGCAAGTGAAAGATGATGCTCCGTATACCTGCGATCCATAAACACTGCAATAGCACTGAGATGGGTCTGGAAGTATTTAACTTTATTATCCATTTTGTCAAAAGAAAAAAAAAAAAAGAACATTCTAAAGACATCACTCTGTAAAATCTCAATAAAGGCAGCCGTCTAGTTAAGCAAAGTTCTCTGAGGGCAATCGTGATGCTCCCTTGGGTACTACACAAGGAATGCTGAGTGGGGACCAAAGCTCTTTGCTACCTTTTGTGTCAGCAGAACTTTGTTCAACACAGAGCATTAAAAAAACCCCCAAACTCCCAAGCTCAGAAAAAATTCAGGGGCAGCTGTTCTAAAGCATAAGATCTTAAACCAAGCAAAGCTCAA